TTCAAGATTCGGTTTTGAATTCCTGTATAAAAACCCTAGCATGTTGCGTGCCGATCTACAAATATTTTCAATGTGAATATTAAATCTTAATTTAGTATCAATTGTAATTCCTAAGTCTCGGATGAATTCAAGCTTCTGAAGTGGATTATTGTTCAACGTGTATTGGGTTTCTGATGCAGTATGCTTACGCGTAAAGTTAATATATGAACATTTAGAAGCGTTTAAATCCCAGCTATTTAACTTGCTCCAATGAGCAATTCTATCGACATCTTCTTGTAGAGATTGTGCATCATGATCGCTAAGAATTGCTTTTGCGAGTTTCAGATCGTCCGCAAGGATGAAACATTTTGAATTATATACACAATTAGTTACATCATTTACGAAAATATTAAATAATAAGGGCCCTAATATGGATCCCTGAGGTACTCCCGAGGTGCACCCATATTTCTGAGAAAAGTAGCCTCTGATCACTACGTATGAAAATCTGTCTTTCAAATATGAAGCAAACCACGAAAGTAATGGCCCTCCGATTCCGAAAGATGATAGTTTCGCTATTAACAACTAGTGATTCACCCTGTCGAAGGCTTTGGAGAAATCGGTGTAGATAGCATCTACTTGAAAACGTGAGTCGACGTAGGGTGTTATAAAATTCAAAAAAACATGAAAGGTTTGTGACAGTAGATCGAGATGTCATAAATCCGTGTTGGGTGTCTGAGATAGCGTGGCGGACATGGCGTGACAATATAGGCGAAATCAAAGACTCGAAGATCTTAGAGACAACTGATAATATTGATATGGGTCTGTAGTTGGCAATATTATCTCGATTTTGTACACAGGTACTATTCTTGCAAGTTTTCACATATCTAGGAAGACCCCGGTATTGAGGGATGTATTAAAGATAATACAGATAGGCAGAGACAACGCTTTAGCACACTTCTTAGTATACGATGGAGGAATATCGTCGGGTCCAGCACCTTTCTTTGCGTCAAGTCTTTTTATTTTTTTTTATTACTTCCTTAACATTGATGTTTATTAAGCAGAGATTGTTTACGGTAACTGTTTGTAGGGGAATGTTTCTGCAGGATAGGTCTCTCCTCTCGTATACGGAAGCAAATGATTCAGCAAAGAGATTGCACACTCCTGGGCCATCAGTAGCAATTTTATTGTTAAGTACCATTCTGGCTGGGTACATGTTTGATGTTTTTTTTTACGTTTTTTAAGTGTGTCCAAAAATATTTAGGATTTTTTTGTAGGTTACTTTCAACGCATTCAATATAAGTATTATAACTTGCTTTAATTAATTTAATAGAGCTAAACCTTAGTGATTTAAATTTGAGTATGTCTAGAGGGTTATTGTAAATTCTACTTTTTACTCGATATTTATTTTTAATTTTTAACATATAAATTAATTTATTATTTTACCATAAAGGAAACTTTGTACTTTTAGGCTTAGTCTTTGGCACATGTTTTTCAATTATTGATTTTAATTTATGATAAAATTCATTTAGTAAAAGTAAAAGTTCTGACCAATTTGTACCATCTAATTCATTATTAATGGGCTCATAATCTGCTCTAAAGAAGTTGTACCTTTCATTGAGCTGTGCATTGATCGTATTAATCTTCAAGAAATCGAGCTTTAGGTTACGTGACGGATGATGATTATCGATTATGCTGATTGGATTGAAGTTTTGACTAACTGTCACATGAGTATGATTTGATAGAACCAAATCAAGCAACCTGCCATTTGCGTTAAATATTGAATTGAATTGTTTTAAATTGTGTTCCTCGATAAAATCAACAAAACTAGACGAACTAAGTTAGAACAGTAAATTGTCTACACCCCTTTAGTAAAAGGGGTGTAGACAATTTAATTCCGGTACTTTCGACCAAGAAATACTACTAATATTAAAATCCCCCCGTAAGCATGACGTATTCATTTTTATTAATAGCTTTGGACGCATTTTCTAAGAATTCACTTAGCACACTGCTATTCATCGGAGGTGGCAAGTATACTACGCAGATTGCAACATGACTTGGTTTACCATCTACAATTACATCAACCGTAATCCACAAATCTTCGCAGTTTCCCAATAATAATAATAATAACTCTTTTATTTCAGACATAGATCCATATAAATTGTTAGTAATACATTGCGCACCTTAAATACTGATGTTAGTTTCTTAAATATGTGTCATGTAATCACTTTTTAACATATTGTTCCAACAATCTAGCATATGCCCGTCCCATCTTTCGGCGAACACGTTCATTATACTGTTACGGCTGTCACGTATTCTGCTCACCAGCGAGTACACTCTTTTACGCATTATTGCGAAGAAGTCATCTGTTCGTGCTTCTACAAACATCCCTGATGCACTGCAATGTTATTATATACTCGTAAAACACGAAGGTCACTGTAAGCGCGCTTTGTATACTTTGTCCATAAGCTGCATGCGTAAAAAGATTGACAGTAGGCTTTAAAGAGTGTAATCTTAACTTCTTTGCTGCACCGCGCAAACCTACGAATCAACATATTTCCACGGATCGACAGTGCCCTTTGCTCCCTCTCGATGTCCATATCATCTTTACCATTTTCAGTTATGTAGTGGCCTAGATATTTAAACTCTTTTACTCTTTCTAGGGCAGTGCCATTAAGCAAAATAGGAGGCACATTCTTTGGACACTTTTTTCCAGCTCTAAATACCATAAACTGGCTTTTCTTAGCATTGTATAACAAACCGTGTCTAACAGCATAATCCTCACAAACGCGTAACAATTTTCTAAGAGCACTAACAGACGAGGCGAGCAGCACCATATCATCGGCGTAACTTAAATTGTTTAAGCATACTCCATCTACATAGCATCCGATATACATGCTGCTCAATTTACCGATTAGGTCATTAATGTACAAGCTGAACAGGTTCCGTGAGCTTAAACCCCCTTGTCTCACCCCATATTCTAGCCTGTACGGATCGGAAAACGTATCTGCCCATTTGACATTATTTATTTGATTTTTGTACCAATAATCGAACATGGCAACAAGTTCAGCAGGTATTTCGGTTTTCCTCAACTTACTCCACAATATTTCATAGGACACCATATCGAAGGCTTTTAACAGGTCTAGAAAACAGGCATACACAGGTGTTTTTCTGTCCGTGTAGTACTCAACGGTTCGCTTAAGGGCCAAGATGGCACTCTCTGTTGAAAGCCCAGTCTGGAAACCAAATTGAGCATCGTGTAGCTGCAAATATTTTCTTAAATACGTATCAAGTAGACCGTCCAGTACCTTTGCTAATATTGTAGCCAACGATATAGGTCTATAGTTGGCTATGTCCGAGATGTCCCCAGTTTTATTTTTTAGAATTGGCACAACAATAGTCCTCATTATATTATTAGGTAGATATCTATGTCGTAGGTGAAAAAAGTGTAAAAAAACAAACCCAAAACCCTAGGAAGATGGCCACCAGCATGTTGCAAGTGCTCAATGCTAAGATCATCATACCCAGGAGACCTCCCCCTTTTCATGTTCATAATCACTGCACCCACCTGTTTAGCTGTGAAGCAAACCAGGTTTGCGTCGGAGAGAACTTCCGTGCAGGTTTTACCATTTATGGGTCCTAAAGGAGAGTCAACATTAAAATATTGCCTAAAATTTTCAACAATCTCTTTTTTATCATTAGTGTTCCCAATGCTCACAGGAAGAACAGACCGCAGATTTAATTTATTTGTGGATTTCCAAAATTTTATGAAGTCCTTATTACAATGCTGAGTAGCTATAATGTCCATTTTAATTTGTTCTTCCCGATTCTGGCACCATTTTAACTTAGATTTAAATCGACGTCAGCTCTCACACACTTGATCATATACAATGCCCCCTTTAGGTTTGCCACATTGTATATCCTGGACTCCCTATGAGCATCTTTTACATATTTATTCCATCCGACTACAGTTTTCTTTTTGCCAGTAATGGCACTACCTTCATTAGTCATAATTGCGGCCTCGCTTAAGGTATTTACTATAACCTCATACATCCTATCTAAAGTCTCTTTGTGATCTATACATGTACACATACGATCACAACAATGGCAAAACTCTACCGGTAAATGCATATCTCTAAATTTCGAATTACAATATTCTTTATATTTAAGGATTTGATGTGGTTTTCTGTTACCCCATATTATTTTACTATTCTTAACAATATTTTGAGACATTTTAGACCTCATAATTGCTAGGTCACAAGTAATACTTAAAGGGAAATGATCCGACCAATAAATACTGTGTAATATTTCAACACTGCGCACAGTTAGGTAAGCGGCAGTAGTAGTCACACAATAGTCGAGCCATCTTCTACTACCGTATGCATCACTTACATATGTAAAAGAGTCAGAGTACATACCGAGTTTGTCCATATCAGCGCACTGCCAACACTGATCTACACAAAACTTTAATAATTCATCACCAAATAGCTCACCTGGGTGAGCATTGAAATCACCAACAATGTAAACTGTTTCTGTCGCACAACTCTCAATGATAGCACTAATTCTACCTAGACACTCCGTGAACTCAATTAGGTTTTCATTTTTATCCACTGGCATATAAATATCGAAAACCAATATGGATCGGTCACCACTAACGGCCTTTATTGCACATACCCTAGGATTTTCACAGTCGATCACTGTCACTGAAGTAAACGCCACCTTACGCCACAAGATCGCAACACCCCCATACGGCCTGCCGCGAAGCAAGCCAGCAGACGTAATTAACTGTCGACGTACCGGTGCCCGCGAACTCATCGCTAATAGTATTCAGAAAAGGAAGATCATCACACAGCAACCACGTCTCCTGCAGCGCTACAATGTCAGCTGACTGACACAGTGACCTCACACATGCCTCAGAACGCTTAATATTCTTGCAGTTATAAGTTAATAATTTGAAATTGTTATCCATTATATTCTTTAAACAGTATTAACATAACAACCTATTTCTCTTTCTTATTCCTTAAATGAACGAATCTTCTGAAAGAGATTCCACCCGGCCACAAATTATTAGATTTAGACTAACCATGGAAATCACTGATCTAAAGGAATCTGTTCTTTTCATTACTAACCAATACGAATATTTAAAAAAGGATATGCAAGAAAAATTTATAGATGTAAAACAACTAAAAGAAGAAAATGATTGCCTAAAATCAACAGTAAAAGACCTCAATAGTCGCTTAAGCATAATGGAGCAGCATTCAAGAATGAGCAACCTAGAGATACAATGTGTTCCGGAACATAGGACAGAAAAACCAGTGCGTACGGTAGTTGGGGCTAATGCAAAGGAATGTGCATTACCGAATGTAAACAAGCCTAGTATGGCAGAAATGGTACGTAATGAAGGAGAATAGAAAATAGATCGACCAGCGGACGAGTGGATTATGGTACAGAGGAAAAGATATAGAAATCGTTTTATAGGGCAGAAAGGGAAAGCAAGTGTTCAGTCCACTGAAAAGTTTAAAGCTGCGGATATAAAAGTTCCTTTGTTTATCTCTAATGTCCATAAAGACTCCGCCGAAACGGACATTATTAATTATATACGAAAAAAAAACTAATGAAATTGTAAGCTTACAAAAGATTGATATGAAACAGGATAAAGGGTACAATAGTTACAAATTATTAGTGTCTAAACATAGGGTCAACACTTTTTGTATGATAATTTGTGATTGATGAGTTCGCGGGCACCGGTACGTCGACAGTTAATTACGTCTGCTGGCTTGCTTCGCGGCAGGCCGTATGGGGGTGTTGCGATCTTGTGGCGTAAGGTGGCGTTTACTTCAGTGACAGTGATCGACTGTGAAAATCCTAGGGTATGTGCAATAATAGTTTTATATATGGACCTTTTTATTTTAAACTTTTTTTTAATATGGGACTATGGGCCACAGCATTCACTTACCATAAGTTGGACTGTGTGACTATGAATATTTATGATCGTTCTTGTAGAATAAGAGGGAAATAAAATATGTCACAAATATTGTATTAATTATATTTTCAATTACATGATTAATGTGCTTTTATTAATACTGCGTAACAAATTAATTTTAACATTGTTTCCAATCCACAGTATAACAACTCAATGTAGAAACATCAGCCGACTCTCTTCCCATCTGGCGGCCATCAGAATCTACACAGCGGCACTGACCACGGCGACACTGTATCTTTCTGAAGTTTCCATTCTTACAACAGATTGGTCTTTCATTCAAAGATGCCATGAGAAGAGAAGTTTGTGCGCATTCTAAAAACAAAATATCGAATTTTATCACAACTTACCAACTACAATCATGCAAAAAAGATTTATTTGACTGATGCGTCATAACTGATAGACAGACAGCGAGATAGATAGATAGATAGTGAGACAAACTTCTACGTACTTTCTAAAGCAGGGTTGTTGTTTTTTTTAAATAGGTCTTTACCTATGAAATTGCCATTCTGCAGTACTGGCATTTCAATCAAAATACTTTTTGCTTGGCTAAGAATTCTAATTTCAAATTTGTTTTTATTTTAAAACATGCATTTCTTTTTCAAAATTAGTAATTTATTTATTAATTAGCGTTATGATTTCATCGCATTTGAATCTTTTTCGTCATCATGGATATGTTAAAAATTCGAATACCTAATTATGGAATATGAATACTATCGTAGCAGCAACGTGGCACGAGCGGCACGTAACATCAACGACCTTTACGAAATGAATAGTACAAACGGTCGCACCATCTGTAATTGGTTTGCCCGCTTCCGTTCTGGAAATTTCGTTACCAGAAAAAGGAGCCCCGTGGTCGTCCAAAAACTTTAGTCGATAATAGCCAATTAAAGGCGATTGTGGAAGCTGGTGATACTCAATCTAGAGCTGAATTAGCAGTAGCTTTCGACGTTAGCATCAAAACAAAACTGTTCTATTTGCGTCAAACTGGCATGGTAAAAAAGCTTGACGAATGGGTGCCCCACGAACTCAATGATCGCCATTGTAACCTGCGACAAAAAATAGATTCTGTTTGACAATTGCAGATGCTCAGCAAGTTGGTTGCATGGTTCAGCAACTAAAAACGAAAACTTACTCCTAGAAAAGTGTTGATCACTGTATGGTGGTCTAGCGCCAGTGTGATTCATTACACTTTCTTACCAAACGGATTGAGCATTACTACACATGTGTACCGTAAAGAACTGAACACAATGATGGAGGAGTTCACAAGTCTACAACCAGTTTTGGTCAATCTCTCGTCCCCACTGCTCCTGTACAACAATGCGCGACCTCATACTGCACAACAGACGGCCTTCAAGTTGCAAGAGCTGGGGTTGGAAGATCTCCGTGATCCACCGTACTCAACAGACCTTGCGCCTACGACTTCTGCTTTTTCCGAAATTTGAATAACTTTTTGGCGGAAAAAAAATGCAATCCCCCAGAGGCAGTACAAAATTTCTTTGAAGAATTTTTTGCCTCCCGTCCAGCTGATTTCATGAAACTGCCACTGCGTTGGCAAAGATGCATCGATTGCATGGGTAATAACGGCAAAAAATATAAAAACTTGACTTCATTTCATAAAAAACGGCAACTTCATAGGTAAAGACCTAGTAGTAATTACTTAACTAAGTATAAAATACTAAATGAGTGAAATAATATACTAGTAAATAAATAACTAAATGAATAGTTAACTCGTGCATAGAAAAATTAACAACTCACTGCAATCCATATTTATGAAATTCTCTGTGTTTGGCTCAGCTTCATAATCTTCAATTTGTTGGCCCCTTTCATCTACGCAAATTTTACTGAAAATGTATTATAACGATCAGTAGAGAATAGAGATATACCTACAATAGTTACCGACGCGTCGTGATAGCATTTTTAAAACATAAATTACCTATGAAAATGCTCTAGTGATCAGTTTGTGACAGTTTAATCAATGACGTATTATATATAGACACGTCATGAACGAACATCGCGGCACTTAAAAACGGTTAAAATACTAGAACTACTTATACGCGTGAAGAAAGAAAAGGAAATATGACACCGTAGGTACGGCGGGATGCCTGTTGCTTGACTACTAGCTGCATGCGCCGGCCGCTATTAGACAACGTCGTCGAATAAAATGAAATGAAAATAGGTAGTTTTGTGAACTTACGCATGAAATGACATATTTTTGTCTTTAACTTTTGGGGTATAATTTGTACATCATCTGAAAACACACGACGGCATGTTTTCTTTATGTTTTGCACAGGTTTACACACACGAATCACGATATAATAAATTAAAAACAAACGTAGCGTCGCGCGACAGGTTGGTGCGTGACCAAGCGCGATGTGGCCAATTGGCTTCATTTCATCTTGCCATTTTAGAGTGCGGACAACGTATCTATAAGTTTATACATCATTGAGTTTAATCATTAAACATTTTGCTACAGTAGTTACCGTCACGTCGTAGTAGCATTTTTAAAACATAAATTACCTATGAAAATGCTCTAGTGATCAGTTTATGGCAGTTTAATCATTAAAAACTTTGACTTTCGGTATTACGCACTATTTACTACGTTTATTCTGTGGTTTAGGATGCTGGTTGGCGCATGCTTTAAAAGGAATATTTTTGTGTAATTGCTTGAATTAGATTTTTCTCTTTCGTTCTCCTTCAGTTATTAGTCCCACAACACCTACTGATTCATTTTTAATAAATTCTGTAGTAGAAAATACAGCTAATGAAAAAATAAGAACTTTTTTATATTTTAATATTCTTAGAAGCTAATGCTTCTAAGAACGACAGCTAATGCTGTCGGATATGCAAAACTATATAGAAAACTCCTTTACGTATGATATAGCAGTAATAGTTGAATCTCACTCAATAAAGTATATATTGAGTGAGATATTGTTAATTTAGTGGCTATTAGATACTCAACTCAGATTAACCAACATGTTATGCAACATGGCATAGAATAAATAATACCCATTACTACGTAACCAGGGTTGACGCTTGATTAAAACTGCTATAATCTTTTTGTCTGATAATTTAAAAAATTAAACTTACGATCCATTTCTAGTCTCTTGAATTCTCCCGAAGGTTCCATCCGGCAAACATTCAGAGACCGAAGTAAAGAATTCAACATTAAAACCTTCTTCCTCACTCTGCAAAATGAGTTCTATTTTCTCTTTCATATTTTCGTAGCAAGGCGTGGTGTAATTAAATGGCGGCTTGCCCTCAATTTGATTCGGAAAGAGGTCTAAGTTGGGATCATCTGAAAATTTTAATTTACTTGTATAATATTTTTAGTTATGGTAGCTTAAAATGCTGTGATATTTTGGTGATTGGACTTGGCCTTCATAGTACGTTAAAAGAACGAATTCTATTCTCGTTGGCATCGCTAAAATTGGCAATTTAAGCGCTGATTAACCAATCGCTCCATGCTCCACGACATTTGGCATAGCCAAAATTCGCATAGAGCTGAAAATTGGCAGGGACATTAAACACATCATTATAAATAAAATGTCAAAAATCCTCTGCGATCCTACTTGTGCAAAAAAATTATTCAAAGTCAAACGTACAAAATTAAGGTTTTTTTTCATTTTTCTCAAATACGGCAAGTTTTATGGGAAAATGGTTAAAACAAAAGTTGTAGACCTTACAATTTTCTACAAAAATGATTCTGTTACTTTTTCTCTTACGACTCACCGTTCGTGAGATATCACGCTTTAAATAATTAGAAAATTCATATTTTACATAATATGCACATATTTTCGCACTACCTATGAGGTAATGCACTTGGCGCATTTTTTTAACGTGGTTTCCGCAGTAGGTACACTGCGCAAAAGAAAGTTTGATCAGATCGTATCCTATTGATTGAAAGAATGGTGATATTGCTAATGATCAAAGTGGAATAGGTTGTTTTCTTCTAAATGATATTAGATAATTGTTTAATTCTACTTCAACAATTATTTCTTCGTCTTTATTTTCTTCTTATTGCAGAATTTCTGTTCGCTGTTCTAAGAAAAGGGATTATCAATTGTATCTTCATGAATATCATAAATATTTTCATCTGTTGTATTTGTTTTAATATTGGAGCAAGTCTTATCCTTACAATTGATGCATACTGGCGAACAAAATAAACTTTTTGACAGCTACAATTCTCACTACAATGCGTCTTGCATTTACAAAAAATAGTACTAAGCAGTTTTTCTGGAGCAGACAGGAGTAGAGTTTGAATTAGCTTCAAATAATTATCTGCTAATTTGCAACCCCTTCCTTCTGAGTCCAACTTATTGCCTAGCCACACTTGAACTTGCTAATACATACAAGTGTTGAAAGGCAAAAGCAGATGTTGGAGGCAGACAAAACAATTGTACTGTTTTATTGTTCCATGCAGATTTTACA